GACCTGACCTGCCACCTCTGCCATGCCCTGCAGACCCCTCCCCTCCTCAGCTCAAATCCCCGTTCCCGCAGCGGCGTCTATACCCAATCCATCAGAAAAAGCAAAAACAACAACAGCAACCACATCCAAACTCCCACTAAAGTAAACCAAAACCCCCATCCAAGCCTCGAAAAAAGCAAAAAAACCACCCTCGCAACAACCAAAGAAAAAAACTTCCCGCAGCGTCATCCCAACACATGCATACTCACTCAATACACACTCACACTCTCCCATACACACCCCGTTCCTCCCCTTCCCCCTCCATCCACATCACAACCCATCCCTTCGAGCAAGGATCGCCGATCGACGCAACCGTCCTGGAGCCCGCATCATCTAGGCTCACATTAGCAGGGTGTGGCAGCGCAGCCGCGCAGTCGCAGCGCAAGTCAAGGTCTGAACGAACCCCCTCCCCTCACCCCCGGCCGCGCCTCCGCCTCCGCCCGCCGCCGCCGCCGTCAGGAGGAAGCAAGCAAAGCAAAGAAAAAACCCCGGTAGCCCCGCCTTACCTGCCTATCCCACCACTACCAACACCCGGCGCCCCGGCCGTGTGCCGTCCGAACGAAGTTCTTTTCTGCTTCTGCTGCCCCTTCACCATTTGCCTTCCCGCCGTCATAATCTTTTAGCCTTGCGTTAGGAGAACCAAAGAAAAAACTTGTCAGATATGACTAAACAGAACCCTTAGGCACAAGAGCACCGCTGGAAAAAGCAATGCTGGCTCCTTCAGAGTATGGGATTTCATGCACGCACATGAAAAATGAACGTAAAAAATTAAATAAAATCCCCCGAAAAAAAAAAAAAAAAAAAAAAAAAAAAAAAGTAACGCAGCATGACCGCATTTGTGCCAATGTGCGGTCCCTCGAAACAGACACACAGGAACAAGAAGAACAAAAACGACCCCCGGCTCCAACAAACTGGAGACAGCCCCAGTGTGCGGTCCAGCCCCGATGAGATTGAGGGGACCCCTTTCAAGAATGCGCGATGATGAAGCCAACCGCAAGGGATGCGACGATCGAACTCCCAGAAACTTCAGGGTTCAACAACCCGAATCGGGAAAGGCATTCGTCCCGCTCCCACAGCGAGCCCCGTCTCGTGAAGCCTTGCTCGTGCTCCATTTTGAGGCTACTCCAGATATGTCCATCTGCATATCTTGAAAAAAAAAAGAAGACGCCAATGCTGGGGGAAATCCCGCGCTGCGGCGGCCCCCAAGACACGATGTCGTGAACTCGGCGACCACAAACACCCCCTCCCCCTCCTCACCCATGTCGATGAAGCAGAGAATCCTTGCAAACGAAAGAACCTTGCATCCAACAAACAAACATTCTCGACCGTCATCGCCCATATCTCTCTCTCTCATGCTTGTGCTTGTGCTTGCTGCAGCTTCGCAAGGGCACATCACTTTTCCGACACACGCCGACCCAGCCCCCAACGCGGGTCCCGCATCTATTGAAATGCTGCACTGATGCGCAAGATCCGACGCGGGTCGGTCCCCCAACCAGGGCAAAGAGAGATGTGCCCCGGCCCACCCCCTCCCCTTCATCGACTGCAGCATCTCTCTCAGTGTCTTTTTTCCGCACTCCCGCTTTTCCTGTCAAGGCCAAGATCCGCGGTGAATGGCCTCCAACAGCTGCGGGCCACCACCGAGCATCGCCCTCCGATCCGCATCTCTTGCGATTGGGCCGCACAGCCGAAGGAGAGAAAGAGCCTCTGAAAGCCAGAACCAAGGATCAGGGGGAGAGGGATAAACAGCCTGCTGGGTATGGATCTTCTCCTCCGGGAACAGACGCACGAAAGGCATGTGGGCATGCGCCGTCGTCGACCGGTCAAGAAGTGGATATCGGTCACATCACCGGCATATGCAACGCGGACCCCTTCTCAGAAGCAGGAGAGATCTGATATTCTTTTCGGTCCCAACGTCACACCCCGTAAATACGTGTGCAAGTCAGAAAGGGACGGGAAAAAAAGGATAATCCATACCCAGCCGCCCCGAGATATGTGACGAGAACCGGTTCTCCGGGCCACGGCCGTCGGCCTCGCTTCGGATGAGCCGCTGTGACAGACAAACAACTGCTGCCGCCAGCCAGACGCCCCTCCATTCGGGCTTTTTTTTCTTCTTCTCTTCTGCGGTCTCGGCAGGCTTTGACGTGCGGCTACCACCTCAACAAACACTGGCCCCTCAGTCCAGAGACCAGGTCAGGAAGGAGCCCCTTCGACCGGTTGCTTCTGATACTGTTTGGATTCCTTGCTTGCGATCCATCCCGGTGAGCAGTCCGCATCACCGCTGCTGCCGGAGACTGGCATGGGAGTCGTAGCCGTTCTGCTGACCGAGCGGCATTGGCCCTTCGTCACCATACCCACCACCATTACGGCATCGCCACTGAGGCCACCAGGTCCCCGACATACTCAAGCCAGGGAATATACCTCGGGGCTTCAGGCCACGCCGTGACTTCTTCAGCAGTTTTGCCCGACACGATGTCACTGTCAAGTCTCCACAGGGCATCCGAAACCTCATCGCCGCTGTGAGTGGTTAGACATTGGGCGGACGGGGGAGGTGGCAGCAAGCCTCGCCCAAATCCGTTCAATGTAACAGCATCAGACAGCCGCCTGCCGCGGTATGCTTGCCAATGAGTTGCTCCGGAGCCACCCGCCTCGCGCTGGCAGAAGTCCAAGAGCCGCCATGCCGCGAAGAAGCAACTGCCGAGTCTCTCCCAAAGAAGACTTCTTTGTGATTCAATGCGGGTGGGACTTGGTGGTCCTCATCCAGGGACCAACTCTCTTGTCATGAGGGCTACTGCACAGGTCAAAGCCTCGTGGGGGAAACAAGGTGAGGCGGGGACGGCAAGAGGACGGGTTACCATGCGGGCGAGAACTGAGTTTCCCGCTGGCTTGCAACTTGGGCGACATCGTGAGGCGTCTTATTGGAGACACGCAGGCTACGTCTTGAATTGCCCACCTGACCCCAGCTCATGATCGCCGTCCAGAAGCGCGCCAACGCAAGGCCGCCCATATCATTGCGTTCGAGACCGCCACCCTAGCTTGTTGGCAACTCGAGCTTGCCCCCATATGGAACAGTGAGCGGGAGACGCTAGCCGCGATGACAAACGGAAGCTGAAGAGGTAAGGACTTCATTGAAACCCATTGCGATATGCAATTTGAGTAAAAGAAATATCGAAACGGTCTGAAGTGAGGCGGCAAAAAGGGGGCGCAAGGCAAGAGGACGAGTCCCGCTCAGCGTGGGGGACTGACGTCCAGATAGAAAGGAGAAAGAAAGAAAAAAGTCCAATAGTGTCTTGAAAACTTCTCAAAACCGTATGGCGCTCCCACCTTGTCGAGGAACGACTTTGCTTAATTCGTTTCTTGCATGCATTCCAGACCGGTAAAATGCAGTAGAATAGGAAGGTTCGCATCCAGAGTGGTTGACCCGCGACGGAAATGATTCAGGTTGAAGGAAAAAGAAAGAAAAAGGGGGCCATGCATGAGACACAGCATGACAGGTCATTGCTAACACCTGGGAACTCGCTGAATGTCTCAATTCAATCACAACTTGCGGCGTCGTCGGTGACGAGCGTAGATTTTGTGTCGTGACTAGATAGGAAGTCAACCCTGTACAATTCTTGCGCAGCCCTTGCTTCATGTCCTGGCGTCGATATAAAACAATAGTGTTCGGCAGGCAACGAACTCTCCCCGGTGGCGACTGGGAAGCCACGAATCGGAAGGTCGTCGAGGGGCGTGATCTTGAAGGCATTAGTTCAGTCGGCTTGAGCTCAGATATCGGTGTTGATAACAGCCTCCACCAGATCCCTTTTGACAAGCAAACATTCGATTTGGGGCCCGGTGAGATGGTTCAAGACTCAGCAGCAATGTAGCAAACAGCAAACAGCGCCGTAAAACCTCCAATGAGTGGCCAGCTTCCCGTGATCATACGATGGCGCGTCTCTGCCGATCTTGACGGCCAAGCAGCAGAAAAAGCAAGCAAACGGGCGGCCAAGCAAGCTCGTTTAGTGTTGCCGACGGGCCTAACGTCGTAAGGCTGAACAGCGGGAGCTAACCCTATCTTCAAAATCTTATCCTTCTCCATGGGCTTCTTTTCAAGAGCCTGACAAAGATTGGTGGTGATCGGTAGACAAAGCCGTTGTTGCTGCTGCTGTCGCGGGCACCGAGGCCGACGCGGTACAGAGACCGAAGCTGCGGCCCACACGGACGTCGGAGCAACACACAGGAGTCTGCGGTGAACGTGCGCAGTCTGCAGCATGTTGCTGATACTTGGAGAGCCTGCACTTGATAGAGGGTGGCCTCTATTACGTCTGAACTCCATGTGTGAAGAAGTGCGAGCTCAGAGCAAACAAACAACCGTGTGCAGCGGACGTGAGAAAGCCTTGACCCATCCTTGCGATTGGCGCAACAGAGGCGCCCAACGCCCCTCGTCGTATTGGAGTTCGGTTCGTAATAAGAAAACGAGCAAGGGACAGAGCAGGGAAGGCACCAGTCATGATCTGATACGGTGGCTGGTAAGAAGCAAATGCGACGGGAATAGCTGCTCGCTTTGCAATTGTGCAACGTGTGACGAACTACCCCAGAAACGATACCAGAACTTCATGCGACAGAGAAGGGGCGGCAGCCGTGCCTCATTATTTCTTGTTGCCTTGGTTGACTCGAGCAAATGAAGGAAATTGTCTTTCCGTCCACTGAACCACTCAGATTTGGCGAGAGAAATAGGGCTGCCTATTCATGAAATTGAAAAATGACGCGTCGTTCTGACGTCCAGTTGGACGTCCCTGAGGACAAGCAAAAGTGCCCAACTTTCGATCGATCCTTTGAGTGAACGCCCAACTCTGTGGGTGGCTTTGGCGTTGTTCCCGCCGCCGGAAGGCAAGGCCACCCACTATCAGAAGCGAAATACAATCGGCGACTCGATTATACAAGCCAGCTCACAATGTCGCCAGTGCTTACGATGTCATTGGTAGCTAGAAGTGAGCATCAGTGAGTGCTGTTCCAAGCATACAAGATGCATCGGACAACGTCTTGTGCACTGACCGGCTGTCGAAACAAGCCAAAGCAACGTCGCATTCCACGAATGGGAGGTTTTCGTCCTGATCGATCGAAGGCAGAAGGTACATGGGATTCGTAGTTCTCCGCTGACATCCTTCCTCGGCCGAGCATTGCACGTCAGCATGTTCCCCGTGGCCCACTCCGTGTCTCCGCCTGCGGCGACTGCACTGTGAGAAAACAGCCGGCTTTCACGTAAAGCGACTCACGAGCTGTTTCTTGTTGGCACCTCGCCTACCAAACGGTCGACCGTGCGTACGTACGCTGGCCTCGATCTCATGCCATTGCATCGGCGGCCGGGCATAGCGCCGCTTCTGTCCCAGATTCCCGTGTGCCTGTGGCGTGGGGTTGTTTCAACGGGCAAGCAATCCACCATCGATTTCTTCTGGCCTGATGTCTTCGTCGACTTCTGGGAACGAGCAAGGGACTCCTGGCCGGCCGCCGACTCTAATCTCCTTGCCGGGTGTGCCCCAAGCGTGCTAACCATATGGTCGGGAAGCGGGGTTGCTGGCCTTTTCGGGCGCTAGACAATTTCTTTTGCAACTTCTGACACTACCGTCGAGACGTTGGTCGCTGGAGATGCGCCCGGAGCCAGCTGATAATTGGACTGAATATGCCGACATCCAAGATACGGGTGTCAACTGTCGCGCCATATCCTCTCCATGAGAGCCACCGCTGCCTGCCTCTGGCAACGGTCGCCCGGGGCTGGAGGGGGGCCCAAAGATTAGTGCCGATGCAGTCCCTCTCACCGGTGAAGCCCCCTGGCAATTAGTTTCTCTCGATTTGCCATGGATGGAGGGCGAGTGGCACCGCCTAGGACACGTTATTTGACAGCCACAGATGCGAGATGATAACGTGTGTGTGGGCGGCGTGGCAGACCGATCTCCAGATCAGACGATCGCACCACGAGCCAAGCATCATTGGCACACTGGAGCCAGATCCCAGGAAAATGCTGACGAGGACCCAGCAGCGCTTTTACCCGAATGTGCTGCTCACAAGATACCCGCCTAGAGGATCACCGATGTATCGAAGATATTGTACAGTGGATGGGAAAAGCCGCCGTAAGCTCTGCGCTGACTGTGGTGTGCACCGCCATCGCATGTTGCATTCGACTGCGACATCGAGCACCCTTGCGACTGATTCGACCACGTCCCGCCACCCCGCGCAGGATCAAAGGCTTGTCGATATGAGAGCAGTCAAGTTTCTGGTGCTTCCGATGCCCCGTTTTCTGCAATGAGATCGCAAGCGGTGTCAGAGCATGTTTCGAACAAAACCTAGCCGGTCAATTTTGGAGATATGTGCTCAGTTGAACCCCTTGCCAGCCATGATCTATCAGTACCATAACTTTTAGGCACTGTCGATTGCAATACATGACCAAGTGAACTGTGTGAGATCTCCCAACCAAGGATCTTCGGGTCTCAGGGTAACCATACGGCTGCATGAGCATTCGCCGATTGCAGACGCGGCAGATCGTCAAGTGACCATTGTGGAAACACCACACTGGCGTGAGAAAACGATCGAGTGATATTAGGATGCCACCCTATGGTTGACATCCAACCGAAACACGAGGTGTGCGATTTGTTATGCGAATCATCCAAGTAGCTGCGTGGACGTGGGTAGTCTGACGAGCCTCTGGCATGCATATGTGGCAGGGTAGGGTCGTCTTTGCCTCACCGGCTGCTCGCCTTCGCCTCGCCCGTAAAGCGCATCGTTGACCCATAGCGTGCTGCCACATGGCGGCTCGGGTTCGGACAGTCTAGGGCTGTATCTTTGTCGCGGATGACGACCTTCTCAAGATCGTTGACGCAGACGGGCATCGCCCTCCGAAATGATACAGTTCTGAGAGCGAGACGCAGCGACACACCATGCCTCGATGCTCGTTCTCGTATGTAGGTCCATCAACAGGTCAAAAATGATCGGCAAGATTGGGGGAACGGAGTCGACCATGGCTCTCAACAGCTGCTGCTTCGAGTGCGTCGTGGGTGGCTGCATGTGTCAACTGCAATGTGACTCCGGGCCAGCGGCGAGCATGTTGAACCAAGTATAGTCGTTTTATCTGGATCCAGAGTGCCGCATTGGCGAAGGACAATGAAGACGAATATGATCTGACAACAGCAGTGTTGACAGCGATGCTAGACCGAGCCGATTTGCATCGGGTCCAGTTTGCAATGGTACGCTACGCGTTGGCTCTCGGTCCGAAATCAGGTTGGCACACGGACACCGCAGTCGTGGCTCGAACAGTAACGAAAGCGACACTCCTGTTAACATCCACTACCACAGTTGCCTGGAAACTTGGGTCAGCCAAATTCGAATTTGGGATCAAGCCCGCGGCGTAGCAAGTTGAAGGGTACCGGAAGTCGACTTGAGAGGTACTCGAGCGGTACGGTATGCCCCCGTTCTAGCCCCATATCGACACAGCGGAAACGACCCAGTGGACGGGTTGAGATATGATGCCCTGATGGCGATGGACGGATCTGGCACATGGCCCAATAAAGCGGAGGCAGTTGGATTTGATGGAGCCGTGTGATTTGCTTGTTAAAAGGAGATAGTCGCCATAAATGGCAGTATCCCCGAGGGAAGCGGTGATGGATTGGTGTGCCCCCATCAAGCGGAAAGTCAATCGAGTAGTGTATAAATGTAAGGCGACCGGGGGCGCGGCGTTGACCAGGGGCGGTGATTTGATAGGGCACGCTCGCTGGGCGTGCATGAGATCGAGGGAAACGCGCCAGATCCCTCGAACGTTGGGTATACAAGTTGGTGGCTTGGATTTGGCCGAGCGAAAGATACCGACGTGATAATGGCCGGGTAGCATCATCCCCAGATACCAGCCAGTCTGTTCCGCCTTCACTGGAAGAACGAGGTCCAAACTGGATCGGAAAAAGCAAGAAAGACCAAGTATTGGCGCGGCTGAAGACCAAAAGAGAGGTGTCGCTCGAGCAAGGCTGCCTAAAGCAGATAGGCCTGCTAGATTCGGGGTGTACTAACTGCATCGCACGGTAGGTTGCAAGGAGGATTGTCTGGCTGTGCGTTGTCGATCTCATCTTGGTTGGATGTGGGCTTACAGGAGGAGCGGCGCAGCGGTAACTTGGCAGCAAGCAAGCAGCATGAATCCTGCAGATGAAGTGAAGATGCGGTAAGAAGATCAAGAGGCGGCGACCAGGGGGCTGCGTCGACAAGCCCAAGCCCGCTGGGCCTGCTTCTCTCTTGCCTCTTCCTCGTCTTGCGCTTTTCCCTGGCACCCACAGATGCAGTTTGGACGTGGAAGCGCGCTTTGATTTGCCAGCTACCTGCGAGCTGGGTAGATTCTGCTGATGCTGCCGGTGTGCCGTATCGATTGCGGCAAGAACATGGCCCGCTTAGCTGATGCAACACGCCTCTTTTGATGGTTGGCTTGCCCCCTCATTTGCCCTTCTGGCATTGAAGCCGGAATCTGCTGTCGTGCGATCCAACGGCCGCAGCATCGGGCGCAGTAGGCTTCAGAAGCGGATAAGGGAACCAGTGAGGAGGCTGCCTTCCATGATGCTGACCATCGATGTACGGATAGCGTCCTCCTTTGAACATTTCAGCTGCTAGTACTCCGTACAGACAGAGTGACATAGCAAGCGGTGTCATCCGCTGCAGAATTTGTCAACCGTACGAAGAGACCCATGAGTGTCATCCGTGGCTCTCAGAGAATGGACGAAACGTGCATCCAGTGTGAAATAGCACACAGTCGTGGGACCCATTGAAGGCGTATCATGATGTCCTGCTGGTGGAGGACCGACGCGTGGAATGTGTGGAGGGATGCGGCCCCCTTTCGTCCGTTATTCCCCGCCGGTGTCGTCGGCGCAGACGGTGATCGGTTTGATGGCCCGCGACCCTTGTCAATAGCAGAGCAGCAGTGGAATGAAAATCGAAACTTCCATCGAGAGAGAGGCCACCAGCGCTCGTTTCAACATTCAACTTTTCGAGGAAGAAAAGTGGGGGAATGCAAGCGAGATCCAAGGGACGTCGGGAAAACGCCATTTTGGCATCCGCCGCAGCTGTCAAACGACGGGAAGCATCCACCTTGCAGGGAAAGGGCTGTAAGACTGAACAGGAACCAAGCGAGGTACGAGCGAAGCTCCTGCGGGAAGCTGCGGACGGCTGTATGGGTACTTTGTGAGAGCATCCCTCTTCACCGCGACTTAGCTGTGATGAAGTACTGCTACTCTTGTCATGCACGTGCACCTGTACTCGCAAGCTTGCTGAGGTGCCGCTCAAAAAAGCACACAGAGCGCCTGAGCGCTCGCCCGTTACCGGCACAAACCCTGCTTGCCCATCTATACGAGACGGACGGTAGGTCAGTAGAGTTAACGCGACAGCAGTGAGTGGAACTGGAGCGTGGAGCGGTCAGTTGAACCCGAATCTGGTGAGATAGGGCGGGTGGAGGCGTGTGCAGTCGGTTGCTTTTATCCCCTTTGCCATTGGAATCGGCGGATTTGAGTTTTTGACAAGCAGATTTGTATCGTGATTAACCGACCTTGGCCAGTTGCGTGTGTCCCACTGGCCACATCCGCGCCGCACCGGAGGGCGCTCCGTCTTTGGCCTGCACAGGTAGCCCCATAGAAGTCGCAGAAGCCCCGAGACGTCACCGGATTTCTGACAAAGATCGAGCTCAGCTCTGCCGAGGTCGATCACCTCACCAAACTGGCGGTCATCCCGTGACACGATGATTCGAAAGAGGAGGCAAAAGTCCCCAGCTGATGAACCGCGGTCAGGGGACGACGTGAGCGAGGCAAGTGGGGTACCATATTTTTTCTGCTTCTGACCCTCGTCCGCTCTCGTCAATGAGGCAACAGTCCGGGCTGTCATGACAGTGTTTGGACCTCGCCAGAGTTTGCAGAAGCTCTTGGTACTGGTACTTGTCTCGCTCCCGCAAAGCAGGCTTGTCTGGCAGGGAGGGCTGGATAGTGCGGCGCGGACACGCTGTCCGGGCCCGTAGCGGAGCCATAATCACGAACTTTCTTAGATTGAGCCCCCCAAATCGAGGGGGGGCGGGTGCAATCCGTTGGAATCCCAATGCTGAGATGCCCTCCACCTCGCTGTGGGTGGGATCGCAGCCCTGCAACGCAATGGAACTCCCAGATGCGAGCCACCACCACCCCGACGGCTGCACCGTCACCGTGAACCCTGTTCACCGTCTGCCTCCCACTGCGGGACACCGGCCCACACCGGAGAGCAGGCCTGGTCTGCTGTCCTCGGACGGACTGTCCCAATCTTTGGGAGCGGTGATCTCTGCGGTAGCCGTCTTCTAGAAAACAGAGAGATTGGGGTTGGAAAACCTCTTCAGCTGAGTCATTGTCAACTGCTTGGCTGATACGATACGCATTGCATGCCCCTGGTGAAGATCTCGTCGTTCGGCGTGCCACTGCCGATAGAAATGTAATAACACCAGCCCCTTTGGTCCCTCGTGGGCTTTGTATTTTTGTTCGAGATCCGCTGCTCAAGGTCGAGACATCTTTGGTA